GTGTGTGTGTGTGTGTGTGTGTGTGTGTGTGTGTGTATTGCAAAGGTTAGAACTGATCACCCTTCAGTCTTGCCCCCATCACGGAAACTGGTAATTCAGGAAAGGTCCCCGCTCTGCTTCCACCGAAGGGGTAAAGGGCATTTAGGGCCTGACGGTTCGTGCCCAAAGTTTCCAACACAGACAAAAAGAAGAAACCACCCCCAAACATGCTGATCGAAGCGGAAGAAGTGCCAGGAACATGGTTCATAGTAGACCCCGTATACGATAGATGGGTGAACCTGACATCTTGTGGCCAGCGGACAGCAGATGGCAAAGCACACACGAGAAAACTTACTACATCTTGCGACCCCTCCCCCACAAATCAATCAATCAATCAATCAATGTTTTTTCCTTTTCTTTTCTTTTTGACCCACAACCCTTGACCCCCCCCCCCCCCCCCCCCCCCCCCCCCCCCCCCCGGGAAATTCGGTTTTTGTGTTTTTGTTTGTTTCTGCTAGGGGTTGAGGTTGGGGTTGCAAAACCCCCATCCACCACCCCCACCCCTGCACCCCTGCCGGCCTGGCCGTGACCGAGAGGTCGCGGCCTCAGCCACCCTCGGCCACCACTGGGGGGGGATTCATAGCTGGAGACAGCTGGTTCCCGCCACCGTCACGGCCAGGAAGCCACTCAGGTGAGCATCTATCTTCACCTGACAAACACACAATCACAAGCATTCGGAATTCAAACGCCCCTGTAATAATGTTGCAGGCACTCCAAACAAACAGGCATTAGAGGCTCAATTGGGCACACAGGAAGTAGTTTGAATAAAATGAAGGAAGGAAAAGATGCAAACGTTCGATTGTCTGTGGGTATATGTGCGAAACCTCTAGCGGCACTTCACCAGGGGAGGAGGTTATGGTTTGGCGAATGATCCCTTGATGTACTTTGTTTGTTTTTTTGTTTTTTTTTTTTTTTTTTTAATAAACACGCCCCTGTCAGTATTAGCGGTGCTGATAAGGGCAGACACTGCTAACACCTGGGGGGGAGCTCCATATATTGGTGGGGAGCGACACCTGCTGGAAAACGGGTCCAGCGTCCCTTACATGGGCAGAATTCGAACCGTATCAGAAAAACAGAGATGTGAAATGTTCCTGCCAGCATTGATTACCCTGGGGTCCAGGGGATTGACTGAGCAGGATGTTGGGGGGGCGAACCTCTTCACCCTGAACCTGGCGCCAGATACCTGCTGCTACACCCTGGTTCCTCCCACCCCCTACCTTTGAAATATACTTTCTGTTGATGCTGCTGGCCCACTCATACCGCTTCCCTACAAAGGAGCCCCACTGAGCCCCAGTCCCTTTTTTTACTGGAAACCGGGTCCAGCGTCCCTTGAATACCTCTTTTTTACAGAACAGATAGCTGAGAAAGTGCCTGCCAGTCGGGTCTTCCCCTTCTTTTGCTGGAAATCAGGTCCCGCGTCCTTTGAATACATCTTTTTTACAGAACAGATAGCCGAGAATGTGCCTGCCAGTCGGCTCTTCCCCTTCTGCCAATCTCCAGCTGCCACCTGCTGAACCGGCAGCTCAGGATCCTGGCCGGTGTTTCCCTGTGTTGAATGTTTTTTCCTCATTCTGCTCCATACCATTGCATGTCAACCATCGCCAGCTCGTGTGGTGGAAACGGGTCGGGGAAATCTGTGGGCGGTCGTAGTGGTGTCTCCTGTCCCACCATAGTCCAATCTCTGAAGTAGATGGAGTAATCTCTTTTGAAATCTTCTTGGTCGCACCCTTGGGCAGTCTTGCCATCCCATCGGACGAATGCGATCCAACCCCCATTCTCATTGCCCAACCAGTCCCCGGAGAATTGCCGAATTGCTTGTGCTATGTCATCTGATGTATGAAACAGCCTAAGCCGGTTTTTAACTTTTTGCCACTGTACACTGAGTTCTTGTTGGATATATTGTTTTATCATGTCTGTTACCTCTTCCCCGGCCATGCGGACCCCCTCTATTGCGTGGGTGCAGTTTTCCCCAGAGGGCCCACATGACTGTTCTCCTCCCCAATTTGAACGTATTATTTTCAAAGACACTATCTGTGGGGGAGGACCATGTTTCACATAGTATGGCTCTCCAGTCCCATGGCCAGTTGGAGCCGGTATTCAGCTTGGACCAGATCCTGTCCCACCATCGCCACGTAAGCACCGCGCCCGGACATTGCATGAATATGTGTTCTATAGTTTTCGGGATTCTGCGGGCGGGGAAGGCGGTGTGGCATGATCTGCACCACGGTAGCGCCCGACCCTTCTGCTCTAGATATGTACGATCTATAAGCCAGTCATTTGTGGGGAGGCAACGATGTTTTATGTGCCATTGCAGCGAGGCCATCTTCGTTGGCCTGGACCTTGTGGCAGTGAACCATCGGATCGGGTGGATTGCCTCTATTCTTACGTTCAGGTGAGATCTCTCTCGGGCCTTTACCGTTTCTTTTATGTTCACTTTTGGGCGCAACAAGTGATAGGAGGCCTTCAACGTGAAGGTGTGCAATTTCAAACTCTCTTCCGTCTTGCGTTTTTGTGGGCGGGCCCATTGCCATTCCTCGGGGTCAAAGGGGAGTTCAGCTATAGGGGTTTCTGGCTGGTATGCTATCCATGCCTCTTTGTCCCGCAGCACACGGATTCTTTGCAGTTCAGAGTTTCTGTACCATCTCGCCACCTCCGGCTTGTAGCCGGTGAGCACATTGTTTTCGCCAATGTGGAAGAGGTTGGTCAAGGTTTCTTC